AAATAACAGAAGCAACATCACTTGAGGACTTTCAACAACATAAATCAGCCAAATGAATACCACAATGTAACACGAAGAGAAAATACTGAAAATAATCAAGATGTCGATGTTCTACGCGGCTTCAAACAAAAGGTTAGGAAGGAAACTGCCATCACTATTGAAGCGAGCGATAACAATGAACTTGAGAAACCTAGTTTCTTGAAAAATTGTTTTAAGAGAAATATTTTAAAGAATTTTAAGTGTTACTGACACTGGCTGCTCGGTTAATGTATGCGGAAAGGTTTCTTATAAGGAAACAACTAATATTACCACTGCCATTATGATTTGAAGCGTCACTTATAGATAGGAATTCCTCAAAAGTCAATAAATGCGTGCATATCTGTGTTTGCATAAAAAGTGAAAAACCTACGAAATACCATTGCTTCATTATACATACTTTCGGATAAACACTGCTTGCAAGAGAAGTAAGTAGATGAAAAATTAAACTTGATATAAAGACATACAACCCCCTCCTCCCCAAAAAGCAACAAAAAATATATATATATAACACGAAAACTCCATATGCACAAGAGTGTTAAATTTGCAAAAATTTCGTAACAGGAGCAGACAAACTGGTCCAGCCAAACAGCTTGCCTCGTTATCGATTTACTTTTAGTGCACGGGAAGAACTCTGACATCTGGATGTCTGGATGACTATATAAAAGTAAAAAATTAACATGCTTTTACCTCGTGACCTAGCTACTATTGTCCCACATGACGCGCCATGCAGTTGTAATGAGGTGGAAGCGAAACGAGGACGCCAGGTCCCATCTTTAAAAAAAAAAATTATCGGTATTTCAGGTTAGAGGAATTTCACCATTTCAAACGAAGGAAAAGCAGCGACACTATAAAACCAGAAAAAATCTGATTGGCTGATCTTCTGAGATTGCCATGGAAGATCTTGCCGGGGAAGAGAACAGTGCGAATCACTTTTATTTCCCCAAAAGTACTTGGGAAATAAAAGTGATTCTCATTGTTACAGTGCACTTTTTACCTTATTAATTGTAATATAGGGAAAAATATTCGTGAATATTAAAGGATTATGATAAAAACAAGCAGACATAATGTTTGTAATTTATTCAGTCAAACATGCTTAATATATATATATATATATATATATATATATATATATATATATATAAATTTAGGCAGAGAATTCTTTAATACGCGCATGACCATGACATTATAACACAGGAAAAAATACACAATGGATAATTTTTACACGTTCTAATGAACGCTCAGTACATTGTCAACCGCTTGATTAATGAAATAATTACGGTAATGAATAGCAACGCACAACTTTGTATAAATACTTGTACCCCCGACCAACTTATAATTTAGTACTATTTGCACCCCTGAAGATAATCTTGGAAAAAGATCGAAAGTACTTGGGAAATGGAAAAGAAAAGAAATTTAAACAGTTATAGCATATTTCTCTAATTTTCTCTTATTCGTGAGTAGGAACAGACTTTGTTAAAATTAGCAGACATAATGCCTATAATTTATACATTCAGACATATATATATATATATATATATATATATATATATATATATATATATATATATATATATGGCGTCTCAGCGTCTTTACATCCCCTGTACCTTTCCTATGAATACTACCATGATCATTTTCGGATGAGCTCTCCGCAGTGGCACCTACATTTTAGGAATTTAAACGCAGTAATAGAATGGCAACAGGTAAATTGATTTTATATATATATATATATATATATATATATATATATATAATATATATATGTGTGTGTGTGTGTGTAACGAATGCACGGCCGCAATTTTCGACGGATTTGCACCAAAATTTACATGCACATGCTCCAAGTTAGTGGAAAGGCCAAGACCAACTTTGCATTTCCCATCGATAGTGGAAATAACCGATTTTTTCATGCTTCTACGGCAGTTTTCATGTAGTTTGCGGCCATTTTCTACTGCCCAGAGTGAGAGCCTATAGCTGGCTGCCACGAATAGGCAGGAAGATTCTATTGGCCAGCGTGAGAGCCAACAGCTGACTGACATGAATGTTAACTAGCATGCTAGCATGCAAAAAAATCGAGCGCTGCATTCGTCACAAGTGTGAAAAATTTAAATCTGTATGGCACTTGACTCCAATTGGCTCATTAGCTTGCTTAAACTCAACGCTGAATCTGATTCCGCAGAACTGGGTTGGGTGTGAAAAAGTATTTGTATTTAACATTCTTTTTTCATTCGGTTTTTCCAGTTACGAGTCCTTTTTTAAAGCTGATCGTTTTGTGTCCATTTTGAGCAATTTTATTCTTTTTTCGTAACAGATTTAATGTTTAGTATAGAGCTTAGAAAAAATTCGCAGTGTGAGATAGGCAAGAAGTACGGCATGTAGCAACATCAGCACAGCAAAGGGCACTCCTTTAAAGGCATGGAAGGGCAAAAATATTTTAAGTCAAGTGATAGCGATTGTTGTATGAGTCGTACGATTTTTGAATCACGCACGGGCAACGCCGGGCCATGCTGCTAGTATATATATATATATATATATATATATATATATATATATATATATATATATATATATGTGTGTGTGTGTGTGTGTGTGTGTAAGTAAATTAAAGCATTTTTAATCTGACATAATTACTTATTCCAGTAAATGTTACATTTATTGGATGTGCTTGAGTAGACGTTCCTTTTTTTATTTTATTTAAGCAGTGATTCAAATGTTTGTCGTTCTAGGCATCAAGAGGCCTACAAAAGGAAATGGTTCTCCAGGGAGGAATCGAATCTGTATTTCGCTTTTAAAGGGTTTCCCTGATTTAATTAAGTTGAAATGTTTTCCCTAACTGAATTAACTTCACTGTTCCCTAACTGAATTAACTTGACTGTTCCCCCAAGTAATTTCTACTCGAACACGTGTAACTATTAAATATAACGGTTAATGCCATACGATATATATATATATATATATATATATATATATATATATATATATATATATATATATATATATTTATATATATATATAGAAGATTTTCATGATCTTATCGGACTATGGAGGGTCGATCCCAGCGTGGGGCTTTGAAAAGTGCCAGAAAACCAGACCACGGGTTGACCTAAGCTTTGTGAGTGAAATTGTGTAGGCGGAATCCTTGGGTGCCGTCGACAGCTGTGCTAGCACGAAGTCATTGTGGCCGAGGGTTTGAGCGTGCTGACCTTGTTCAAATTGTTGATCAGGCTAGATAACACGCTCTTTCCCCCAAAATCTCAGTTCTGCTCAACATAGTTTTAGTATAAACCACAGGTGGGATTTGTGGGTGTTGAATAAACACAAATGCGCCTGATCAAGCGTCTGAAATAGAGATTTTCTAACCGCCCTAGTAGACGCGTGTCGTGAAACACGATTGGCCAGTTATATATATATATATATATATATATATATATATATATATATATATATATATATATATATATATATATATATATATATGCATGCGCATTCCATAATCATTAATAAAGATACGACTGGGTTTACACCTGCGTTCTCTTTAGCCCTTTTGGTCGCGGTGGTTTCCTCTACCAAGGAGGACGCTGGTTCGAACCTCCCGGAAAAAACATTTTCTTTATTAAGTCTCTCTCGAATGAGCACATCAGTACAGTCTTTCCATCTCCATCACGCTCTCTGTCTGTCTGTCTGTCTGTCTCTCTCTCTCTCTCTCTCTATATATATATATATAGGAAGTAGAGAAGACAATATTTATGAATAAAAATGACAATAGGAAAACTGGTAATTGCTGACGCGTTTCGTTCAATGTGGACTTTATCAAAGCAAAATACGATCGTCACGCGTCAGTAATTACCAGTTTTCCTATTGTCATTTTTATTCATATATTTTATATATATATATATATATATATATATATATATATATATATATATATATTGTGTATTTAGGCAGCAATCATTCGTTTATTCATGTTTCATTAAAAACGACAGACAAGGTACTACGATTAAGCTTTTTATTTAATTTTTCTTGTGTTCGGATAATTTTTTGGTGGGGACACAGAGTGTGTAGAAACTGTTCAGATATTCTATAATTCCGAACACTTTCGGCTATACTTTTAGATATTATGAAGGATAATTTTATTTTTGATGTTTAATTGGGTGTATTGGTCGTGTGTATATATCTAGAGTTATGGGGATGTTTTATTTTCCGAACAGAATTAGCACATTCTCGCCGTGTTCATAGTTAATAACACTTAATAATATTGATTACGAACTCGACCACAATGTGCTAACTGTGTTCAGAAAATAAAGCATCTCTATAACACTAAAAACATACAAACAACGCAGACATCCAATTATATGGAAAAAAATAAAATCATCCTTGATTTTGGCTAAAATTATAGCCGAAAGCGCTCGAGATTATAGAACATTTGGACAATTTCTACACTCTCTGTGTCGAAAAAAAGAAAACACTTGTTGGAACACAAGAAAAATTAAATAAAACGCTTAATCGTAGTAACTTGTCTGTCGTTTTTAATGAAACATGCACATATATATATATATATATATATATATATATATATATATATATATATATATATTTTATATATATAAGGTTTAATAATTTATAGCCAATTACGTAGTTTTATTGGATTAGTTTTTATCTAAGCTTCTAACTGCGTAATATTTCGTTAATGTGACTGATATTCACCACTGAATCAAGTGCATTGACAATGAAAAAGATTATGCTGAAAGTGAATGTCATTAGGCCTCAGACTTATTAAAACACACATTTATCTATCTATCTATCTATCTATCTATCTATCTATCTACAATTAATACAAATATAAAGTTTGTTACTTAGCTGACTGGTGTTACCTTGAGCATCCAGATTCCAGATTTTCGTAAACAGACCCTTAAGTAATTACCCTGTCCACACTTCAGGGTTATCAGCAATCTATGTTTACGTCCACCTCACCCGTTCCCATCCGATCACAGAAAAGCAACGTCGAACTTGGTCAGTACCTAGATGGGTGACCAGTTGAGAATACCAGGTGTTGTAAGCTTGGATCTGCGGGTAGTGTAATGTATAATGGCTTCCGATTCTCGTCGGGTTAGTTATATTCACTTACGCACAAATACCCTTGGAAAAGATGCGAATCCACCTCTTCTCCCCCTAGCTGGGGGTTAACTAGTAAGAATATTATCACTAAATCATTATTATCTTCAAGAAAAATATCTTACAATCTAAAAGTAATTTCCGGCTTTAAATAATGTGAAAAGGGTTGATAAGGAAACGAATCATCTATCTATTCATCTATATCTAATTAACGTTTTGTATGGATGATTCAATGTAATACAAATTGAACTGCACCACATATTTGATTTAAAAGAACGGATCCGACGTGCAAATTTTTGGGATAACAACTGAGACATTACTCTAGTTATTGAACTATTTAGTTCATGCCACACTGACTTATAAATCCCTACAAAAAAAAAAAATCTCAAATTGCCATATTAGCAAAAAACGCACTCACTTAAATTTTCAAAAAAAAAAAAAAATTCAAACTTAGCTTTGCGACTGCACGCTCCAAAAGTTTGTATCCGTTATCAATAACATATTAAAAAAAAAAAAACATTTTGATTCGCATTATATTTTTTCGTCTCGGATGCTACCTGAATTTTACAAAAAACAAAATAATTTCCATGCCTGAAGATGACTGAATGTACAGTCGAAAGTACTTGCGTATTTAAGAAAGAGCTTACACAGCTTATAATTTAAAAAAAAAAACAAGGATCATAACATTCATCGTGTGATTAGTAGGTTTATGTGTCTTTAAAATTTTGTCAGCGAAGGGATTTCGCCATTTTATATCATTAACTTTACTAATTTACTTTTTGTATGGATGATTCATTGATATAAATTGAACTTCACCACGTATTTGATATATATATATATATATATATATATATATATATATATATATATATATATATATATATCACTATTTATCAATATAAAAATACATAGCTATATCAAAACTTTTGTGCATCTTATGTATTAAGAAATATATTAGAGCGTCTGTTTAAATTTTCACTTCCTATGGGGAGTTTCTTCTAGTTGAACTCACATCAAAGAGGAAAACACGTTTTTCTCTTTGTGCGAACGATGTCCTCCCGAAGCAGTCAATTTAGGTTGGATACATTTAAAAGAAAAAAAAATGCGCAGAGCATTTAAAGATCGCAAACTATAACTTAAAGGAAAATAATAATTTAAAAAGACAAGACAGTGAAAAAAATTACTTGGCAAACGAGCGAATATGAAACATATATTATAAATGTTTACCTAGTTTAGCATCGTCTTGAGACAGAACCAAATATCTTGAAACTTTGTACTGAAAGGCCTGGTTAAAACTTGGGCTGAAGCCCCACCTTTGTTAACGCTGAGAAATACGCAACAATCTTAGCTATAAAACAAGTCACGTGCTTCATACTGCACAGAACTACATGAAAAAAGGAAAAATAAATATAAATTCCATTTTCTAAGCACGATGAATCTATTTTATTTGAAGATTACCGCAAAAAATCCTAACCATTTACTTGGAATTGAAAACCTGCCTCTGGCTTACTGCCATATCAGATTGAAAAATCGGTTCTCGTATGATCACCAAAGTTAATCAACCTCGCGTGTAGTGAGTAAATAGAAGTGTATATTTTTTATATGCATAAAAATATATATATATATATATATATATATATATATATATATATAACACATACAGAGACTTCACATCTCTCTCTCTCTCTCTCTCTATATATATATATATATAAATATATATATATATATATATGTAAATATAGACTAAATAACAAGATATTAGCAACTGTATATGCGTGTGATAGTATGTATGCACAGATAAGCAAATAAATATTTATTTCATTTAATTTATGGTGCACAAACAGTTCTCAATGTAGTTAAAAAGATTTAGAAAGTATATATTGATAAATACACATAGACCTACGTTTGTAGTGAAACTTAAAGATTCATGGTTTCCCAAGTCATTATGTTAAATGGGCGGCTTATTACAGTTGTTTTTTTATATACTGGGTCTCATGGTGGTAACGTCAAATTATACTCAGATTCAAAGTTCAAAGTTAATATAAACCCAGTATGTTATTGGGGCGTAAATTCAAAATATAGAGTGTATGGAGGAAGATATTGGGGAAATATCGACAGGTTAAAGTTTATATGGCACATGTTTTTTTCCGTAGGGAAAAATAATAATCCGCGTACAATTCCCATGAAACCCAGTATTAAAAAAAACAAAAAACAACTGTAATAACCAACCCAGTTGTTATAAATGCCTGACGATTTTGGAAACCATGAAATTTTAATTTGCACTATAAACGTAGGTATATGTGTATTTATATATATATATATATATATATATATATATATATATATATATATATATATATAATTTTTTATTTTCTTATTGTTCAAAAAATGATTTTTTTTTTTTTCTTATTTTTTATATATATATATATATATATATATATATATATATATATATATATTCCGTTTATACGTTATTCTTATAGATACAATTAATTTAGGTAAATGGTCTGTTTTTGATTAAATGGTATAGCACGTCCGATCAAATGACTGTTTCCGTCGAGGAATACAGGTTCGATAAATATAATTAATACGATAAATATAATTAATACTGTCTAATTAAGCAAACAGAGCATTTACTAAAATAAATTGTATCTAAAAAAAATAACGGATAAACAGAAAATATATTAAATAATTGTCGGACTTGATCCATTTCGTCATATATATATATATATATATATATATATAACCGACATGAAGAGACCCAACGTTTTTTTAATAATACTCATGATGGACATTTAAAAGGGAAAAAAATGAAAACGTGTAAGCTAACTGGTTTCGAACCTTATTCTACAGAGCTAAATCGAGGTTAATATATAAGTATAAATCATGAATAAAATGTAATTAGAAACAGGAAAAATCATTTTTAAATATATATATATATATATATATATATATATATATCTGTGTGTATGTGTGTGTGTGTATCGACTTACGGCTATATCACGTTGACATACCGGTTCCCATACGATCACCGAAGTTGAGCAACGTTGAGTCTGGTCTAGACGACTGCTTAGGAATACCAGGAGCTGTAAGCTTGCATGTGCGGGTGGTGTAATGGATAACAATTTGGAAATGGAAATCGGCGTGCTAAGGTTCAATTCCGATCGCGCAAATAACTTTGGGAAATGTATAAATCCAACGCTTCGTCCATAACTCCCAGCTATGAGTTAATTAGTAGAACTTGTACCAATGAATCATTATTATCACCATAAAATTCATACAATATAAAAATATTTTCTATCTTTAAGTAACCTGCAAATGTTTGATAAACCGTAAAAAACAAATCGATAAAAGAAAATCCCTGCCTCTGTCAATTGAAGAAAATAAATAATAATTTAACTCATGCACAAGACAGATCGCTTCCGAACTGAGAGAACATTTACTTGCTTGATTATTAGCATTCAATCGTCTTTAAACTGGACCTGAACACGAATCTATGTTGAATGTCAACGTGTAGGATATCGTTTCGCGCCATGGAATATCATCTGTCTCAAGAGAATTTAATATCTATTAGAAACCTTGATCTAAAAAGAGTTGATCTGTGGTAACTCTAATATGTACTAGGTTCCCTCTAGGTAAGATTTGTAATCGATGCCGCCATTGCACATCAAAAGTTTCAGTTGTCACGATTGTCGACCACTTCAAAGCCACCAAATACAGAATCAGGCTTTAACAGATGTCGGTGGGTACACCAATGGGGAAGTGATTCTATTTGGGCTTCCATATAAATACGCATAACAACCGGATAACGGGAAATTATATAAACAAATAACCATCATCTAAAGAAGATCGAACGTTCGGAGAAGGACACGAAACTAAATACCCTCGACTCGGCCGACGGTAATTTAAGTGCCCATAAATAAACAACCATTTTTACGCATTTATTATTTAGTTTCGTATTCTTATCAGACGTAAATAACATTGCATTTTGGTAATTTATCAGATGTTATTCAGATCATTCCGTAGGCCCCCGTCGATCAGGGTTGACCATGGGTAGCATCCTAATTGCCTGCTTGGCTGGAGCATCGACATCTGTGACTGTAGAGGCCGATGCGGGTGTGACAATCTCTATTGTAGAGGTCGCATGTGTGTTTTGATAAAAATATATCCGGTCCGCTGGAGCTGTCATTTTGTTTTTTTGCGGGCCTCCCTTTTCGTGGCGATTTGTGTCAGGTTCTCCTCCCCTGACTTGAACTGTTTGGTCAAGGGTTCCTCTCCATTCGTATGTAGAATGTATGGCTGCCAAACTCTCCCAGGACTCTGTGTTGATGTCCACAGCTTTCATGTCACGTTTCACGGCATCGCGGTACCGCAGCTGTGGCCGCCCCGCAGGTCTCTTTCCAGCGTCCAGCTTTCCATACAGGAGGTCTTTGGGGATGCGGCCGTCTGTTATGCGATAGACGTGGCCCAACCAACGGAGTCTGCGCTGTCTGAGCAGTCAGATCACATATGAAAAATAAAAGCATGATACCTTAGCAGGCCACTTAAACAAATATTCAATGTCAAAAGCAAAGCGATGATAACTAGGAGGATTCGGTTGCACCTATGTTTCAAATGGGGAGAAAAGTAGTATTTAAAAGCCTGTCTCTTATCTAACGCTCGTGGGGTATGCAGAACATTCTGAGACATGGAGTTCCTCGCATAAAACTTAATTATGCAGGAGTTATAGATTATAAATAAGAATAAAATGGAGCCTTTACATGATTCCGTATATTTATATTTTATCAGAACTTTCAATATTAACTTAAAACAACCCAGAATGTGAATATTACTGTAAAACATTCAGATCTAAGAGTCGAATTTATGATTATTTTGTGTGCATATTAAATTGGCTGATATAGATTAAGCTTCCTTCCAGCTCCTGAGGCCATGTTCAAAATTGGGC